AACTTTTAAATTGATAGAAGTTGATCAAATAACTATGCTTGGTTTTATTGTGCCAAGTAGCAAAAGATTGTACCATAGGGTACTCTGCTCAGGCTGATTTTAAAGCCTATTTTGCATTACATATGGATGATGGTCACAGCTCCCACATTTAGATGCATATGAAAAATAGTGAGACTAGAAAGCATCTTATGCACTCCAGCACATACTGTATTTGTGTACAGCAGGAAGGTTGTCATGGCCACAAAGCGCCGTTGAACAGCAAAAAAATTAGATCAACTCAATGTTTTGATAAGATAATAGCGCGATACTCCATCGAAAGATAATAGCGCCATAGGTCGTATCAAGAATTCAAAATTAAATATAATAGAATTAATACCTTTAATCGAAAACTCTAATTTGTGTAAAAAGTAATCAACGAAATATGTAAGAGCCAATACCGTTGCATTAGGTTCAAAAGAGAAAAATATCATAATAATTTTGCCCTTCTGATGAAACAATTGAAAATACATTCCCTTATATGCACTATGTCCTTTGAAGGAAGACATTCCTACACTAAACGACCAGAGTGCCTCTAAACTTAGAACTGGCCAGCTATCACATGGTCAGCAAAATTCACGGTTGCATTACCTAAAAGATATTATTGGTCAGCACTACATCTTTAAATTAGGATTATGCGACTTGACAGCAGTGACGAACTGAGCTAGACTGCAGGTGTCCAGACACCTCAACATACGAGACATTTATTCATTACAGCAATAAATCATTCAGACATTTCGTCATTGCAACAATTCGCCATAAAATGTTATTATTGCATAAAGTGCATTTTGCAAACTTAGGAACATGTAGGTTAGGTTAAATTTGTAAAGGATTTGATTACCCAATGATATAATGCGACAGTGATGAAATGTCTCCTATGATGAGGTGCCAGGGAACCAGGCTGCGGCAAGGAAGGAGAGTCCCAGCAAGACGGCAAGATGAAGCTTCAAGAAGTGCCTCACCAAAATTGTCACTCGAAATTTGGATATGAAACTAAAACTATCAAAAATGTAAATTTAGGAAACTAACACGTTCATCTCAAGTCTTACCTCTGATGTCAATCCTTAATAGCTCGAAAGGTAATTGAAATTCGGTCACCGTTTCACTTTTTCAGCACAAGCTGCAGGCCGACTGTCGAATAATGAAAAGACAGCCCAGGGTACGTTAGCCTCGTTAAACGACTCTTGGTCCACACCGTTCGGTGTTCATTCGGTTTAGTTATATGATGCACTGACTGTTGTAATATTTATAGTGTTATTCCCTATTTACCTGCATAATCCTCTTCAGTTTATGCATCTATTGTGCGTTTTCTTACGAAATTGTACACGAATAAGATGCATACCATAGAAGTGAATGGGCTACTCAGATGCAGGGGTCGTGCGTGTACCGGTAGATAGAACCACTTGATTTTTAAAAGTGCACTTACTGAATAATATGATAAAATTTATTGACATATTCGTTAATTCCAAGTTAGAAAATACGTTCCACTTAAATGAGATCTCGGTATCCATCGCAACAATCAACAACAGCACGAACAATCAACAGTGACCACAGTACGAGAGGAATTACAGAGTACGAGTGCGCGTACCTCGGGCGCTAGCCTTGTAGGCCTCCAACAAGGGGCGCAGCCGTAGGCCACAAATTTTAATCTTAAATAAGTCCTGGAGCCAACGCCCAACCTCGCCATGTATTAACTTGAATTAGCCTCAGAGCTAGAAGCCGCAGACTTCGCTGGAACTCCGTATTCCAGACTGCCGAAAGATAATAGCGCGATACTCCATCGAAAGATAATAGCGCCATAGGTCGTTATAGCCAATGCTTAAGCGTTCTCGCTCATAAGCAGGCAGTTCCCCGTCCGGTTGTACCTACTCCGGCCAAACCTCTTCTGAAACAGCCTTTTCGCGCTGTCCCGGCTCACAACCTCTACCAGCACACTTGGACCGCCTTTCTAACTTCCTGCAGTCAATAGGGTTAGGTTAGGTCAGCTCAGGTTTGTTTTGAATGGAGAAATGTTGCAATTTGTGTAGGATAGGCCAGAAAAGGTTATGCCGGAAGATGTTTGGCCAGATGCATTATGGCCATGCTTACCTGTAGCTAGCTTATTTTGTGGCTGTGGATATCTGGCGCTATGGCTTTGAGCACTTGATTTCCTATAGGCTGGTATGCCCTTTAACATTCTTACCTACGGAAAGAAATATGAATTAAGTGAGAAGTTTTGCAAAGCTGACCTTCGGCATGCGCCCCTGTCTCGCTAGCCAGAAAGTGTCCTCTGCGTCGCATTTTCTTCCAACCGCGGGTATTAAAAACCATCTTCCACATAAACTTTTCTCCATGGTATAAAATCTAGAGTTTCATATTTTTAATTAGGTTTTTATATATTTTTTAAAATTTGATCTCTCTGGATTTACCATTAGAACTTTTCAACTTGTATTAGATCACAGATCTAGTGGCTTAAATGACGTACAACCGTACATGGTCGACAGTGAAATTCTGACTCCATACTTTGACGCTGTACATTATTATCCATTTTCCGACTCTAAGTGTAATCATCTATCATCGAACTATTTTGCCTGTTAATACTGCACTGTTGTGACTGCCATCACGACAGTTTGCGAGCCTTATCGTACCCAATAAAACTAAATTATTGATGTATGTTTTTATTCAACTAACCTCATTGGGTGTCTCGTTATTTATTGTTGCAACTCAAAACAAATCAAAACCTCCAAATTTAATGTCATTTGCTTCATTCAACCCCTTGTCAAATACCTCCTTCAAAACTATTCACCTTCGACTTCATCCCAGCGTAGTTGTGGAAATGGAAATCAATATTTCAATAATTACCTATCTTTTAATGTCCATAGTCACGCCCCTTTCACATCAAGAAGCTCCTCTTCATTCACAGGACGATGGAAGTGCCCTTTTTGCCACAGGCCTAACAGTTCGGGTTTGAATAAGGTTGCGTGAACTGGGATCAGTGCCGAATAACTGCGTGCTTAGTTTAATCAACGCATTTTATGGATAATTCAGCGATTACCCTTTGACATTTCATTGATGGCGTATGATTTATTTAACTATACTAATAGTTAAATTTCAAAAAGTAAGTACATTGTATATTATTGACAGATAAAATAAATTCATTTGTTTCAAGCATCGTGGGTGTGTCCAAACTTCCACAGCCTATGATAAATATGACGAACAAATCGGGACTGACTAACTGCTAGTCAAACATGTGGGCGTGAAGCACTTGTCTAATTTAAAGAAGCAGGAGAGAACTTTGTGTTTAGAATTGTCAAATCTCTATGAAATTCGAACGAATTTGTTTTCAAGTTTGTTTTAATTTGTAGGTGGAAAATAATATTTTGGGTTTCGACGTTTTTGTGAAGTTTCGATTTATAATACATTATAAAGATTTAATTCAGTTGAAAAACCTCCAAGAGATCTTCCCAGGAAAAATAGTGCCAGCCTGTTTGGGTGATTATATGGCACTACGCATTAATATTCAATATTTTGAGCCCGTATCACCGAGAAGCCTCATTGCCAAGCATAAAAGAACGAATCACTTGAACCAATTTTCTAAAAAGGTCAGTAATTTACCTCCAGATATTGTTTGATTCGATTATAGAGATTTCGATAATCCATATCCCATGCTTCATGGACTTGAACCAATTTTCTAAAAAGGTCAGTAATTTACCTCCAGATTTTGTTTGATTCGATTATAGAGATTTCGATAATCCATATCCCATGCTTCATGGAAGCCTGTCTGTATAAATTACGTGCATACAGTCGAGCATCCAGACGGCCCTCTTGTTGGGTGCCACACGTCGTCTCCCTGGAAGGTATTTTCGGTTTTGAAATATTTTCCTAGCCTGAGCTTTCACCTATTCTTGATATCGTATAATTTCCATAGCTAGGTGGAGCTCAACCAGCAATTCACTGCCCTGTTCTTACTGCTCCTAACCAATCGACTTTCTCACTCATGTTGACCAAAAAATTTTTTGCCCGCCAATTACGTTGCGCTCCACCTACGGCGTCTTGCTTCTCATACAATAAGGCCCCAATACTGAGTCCTCTTACCTACAAGGTAATTTTTTAAATCTAATCATCAATTACATATTACTTTTTATTCCCGAACACGAATAAATTCTGTGTTACTATTTAGATTTCAGACTAAAATCGGTTCCTTGACTGATGAATGTAATACTATACTCAAATTATACGCTTTTGTGGCGTCATGCATTGAGTGAACCCTTTAAATTATGCGTGTTATTTATTGAGTTTAATAACGAAATAATTGTTTATAAGGTGTCTCGACTCAAGGGGATGTGTCAGGTTGTGACTGCATTTGATATAACGTGACGATAGATGTGTTCATGCCATTACAAGAAGCCTATTAATATTCATTTTTGTTCAATAACGTAATGCAGGATGAAGATATTGTGGTATCTGAACTGCATTGAAAAATATTACTATGGAAAGTAAATGAATGCATTGGAGAATCATTAGGGATTGGATTTATATCGAGAATATTAGCAGCCAAGTAAGACGAGCTTACAGTTTGTTCCCATGGAATTGGTTAAGTGGGAATTTGAGACCCGCATCAAATTGTTCGTCAGTATGGGTCAGTATTGCGCGCTGACATCATTGAAGATAGTTACGCGTATGAATATTGGCGGATTTGGTCTAAAATCTCTGTTAAATGAGTATAAATTCAATATAATATTATATTACTATTCATCATACTCATGTATAATACGTTTAGGAATGATATTGCTACAAAACTATTCCGAGTAAAATTTGCCTAAACATCTTATTAGCGATCTGTCAAACGCTTCATCGTAATCGAAGCTCTTTAATTCAGGATAAATGAGAAACAGATAAACTTCAGCAGTCATTTTTGGACATCAAAAAGTTACATCAATTGCATCGTAAAAATGAAAACAGCTGACGATTTTTCACACAATTTTTTATTGAATGTGCAGCAGCGTCAGCAGCCGCCGCTCCTCCTCTTCGCTCAGCTCCGGGTAATGCAAGGCGATGTCGGAGTACCTGCACTCACGGAAATAAGTTAGACTTTGTCCAAATAATAACACATTTTTTCCTTCGTGTAGGTCATCTCGACCCAGTTTGTCCCGGTAAAAAGGTGTATCAACGCTACGTCTTAGCTGTTGGTGCTGTTGGTAGAAAATACGTGTCACTAGATCGGGACAATATGGCCCATTCATTTTGCTCAGTGTGATATACCATATGACAGTAATAAACATTAGGCGGCAGGTACGAGCAATGTTAGAGAGGCACATGCAAACCACACCAACGATAAGTTTTGCTGACAATGTGACGACACACAAAACTTTAGGACTGGTGTTCTCTAGATATCTAATTTACAAAAAAAATAAACTGTCGAAAAAAATTGTCGAAGGGTGAAATTATTCATCACTTCAATTAGTAAGTAAGAAAAAATTCACAGAACGCCATCTTGAGTTGCCTTGTACTCATTTGTTCATCTGGAATCATTAGTTAATTTATTAGAATAATGAATTCTTTTGATAAATCAAGACAAATCATGTTGAGCGCAGACGCATGATACAGAAAGTTTTTCAAGGCAGTTACGAGTAGTTGAATTAATGTAATTGGTTTTATAATTAAAATAATATTAAATAATAGTAAAAGTAAATAAATATTTAGTTATAATACTAAATTTCATGGCAGTCAGTTCAAAACTACACCTTGATAATTACATCCGACTAACCACTTGCTGGAGGGAGCGTAAGCGAGCACCGTCTGGGCCACGGCCTCCGCGCTCCCAGCCGCAACCCCCAGCACCGTCAGATGGGGAGAAGGAAGATCTGGGAGCGGCACAGCTACCATTGTGGTGCTCATCAAGGGCACGTAAATTCCTATGGGGGAATACACTGATGTTAGGCATGGTCTGGCGACAAGGCTGTTACTTGCCCGCTACGCCCGCTAAATGCTCGTCTGTCAGTAGGAAATTGTGTCATGATTAGGAATAAATTACCCATTCACTTTTTGAGTGTCTATCTTGTAATTATTAGCGTTATATTAAAAGTGCAGTGCCTTTTTGTCCATCAACAATGAAGAGCTGTTATACAAGAGTTCGTGTGGCACTTATATAGCAATAGTCGGCTCAAACCTTTTTGTGCAGTGTCCCTACCCCTAAATCATATATTTGACTGCCATTATCATCGTGATGACAGGGCCCGTTTACCAATTGAGCCCAAGCATCCTTACCAGAAAACTATTGACGTATAGCAAGTTATTTTGTATACTGACTCCTCGGACACTTCACAAACCCATTCCGCTCGCTTGCTTGCTGGACATCGAGTTTTTTATGAATATTTAGAGTTCTTTTACTTGAAGTTGATTCGCGTCTACAGGCGACGAAAATGAGGTGCATTCAAGTTAAAACGCCTCCGATGTTTTTTTCTTGATTGGTATTAGATAGACACATCCCATTTATTTTAAAATGAGCGGGCACACTTTGCAAATGCGTACTACAGACTGCAGCTTTCTACAGCAAGGAGAACCTCTAGCGGAAGCGACAAGCGTTTGGGTTATTTTCGATACCTCAAAATAGTGATGTTTTTGTTATACGACCAGCGTGTAATCATTCGTTTTCTGCATTTGTTAGGTGAGACATCAATTTAATTTCATCGCCAGTTGATTGAGACATGCGGTGATGGTGTCATAGATGCGCGTACGCGGGTGCGGCGATTCAAAAGAAGGTAGCGCGTGTCCTCTTCCACCAATACAACTCACCAGCACGTGGGGGATAACGTGAAGGAACAGTTTCTACGTGCAACCAGCTTTGAAGTGGTTCCCAATGCTCCGTACTCAAGAGACCTGAGTAATAGCGACTTTTCGCTGTTACATCTGTATCGCTGTTTTACTGGACATCTATAAAGTATACGCGGCAAACAATGTAATCTATACAAGTATTTTCCAACTAGGTGAATGAAGAACAAGATGAATCAGAATTACTTGAAAAATTTGAATTCCCATTATATTTTGCTTAGATAACGAATATTAATTCCCTGACAAGGAAAGAGAACAAGTTCCTGTCTCTACCTCGGATGTAAACAACTTTTGGAAGGGATTCTCTCAGTTGTTGTTTCATTACAACTGAAAGAAATTCTCCTTTCGCAAATTACTTGACTATCAATTGTAGCTAATTCTTTCGGGAACTTACGCGGGAAATTTGCTCTCTTGTTACGGGAACTTACTTCCTCATGAACCAGAATTTGTTTTCAGGAGGCACGGTGCAGCGGGATAACTACGCTCCATACACAGTTACTGAGTCTTAGCAAGCGGGCCCTAACTTACGAGGATGAATCAAAACTGGTTCAGCAAATTTTCAAAGGTCATAAGGTTTACTTAAATTTCATGGAAAACCGGCATCCACGACACAAGACTATCACTAAATGCACGAATACAAACATTATATGGACATAAATTACAGATATTTACAGTCATTACAAGTGCGGCAGGTCAGGCAAAGGTAGGCTGCTTACTAGCAATCCGCTGCTTCCCGCGAGAACTACCTACGCATACTTTTTCTCTTCAGTCTTAGTTAGAGAGGTGCGGCGGCTGAAGAAAACTTATAGCGCGGCCTAGGCTGGCCCGCTACAACGGGACGAGATTTGGCGCTCTTAATTAAATAAGTGGTTATATAATCGTATGATTCGTTGTAAAAGCAGCCTAAGCAATGTTTTATAAATGAACTCATAAAATTTAATTTCAAAGCAGCCGATGATATACTTAGAGGGGTGAATAAGTACTTATATTATCAGTCTGCTTGTATCGCAATTGAGTTCACAAGGAATTTAAAAGCAAAGAAAACGCCAAGAAAATTCACCATATCGATATTGAAAACGTTTCGGAGTTCAGCCCCATCATCAGTTCGACTAAACTAAAAATGAATAAAATTATTTTATAAGTCAAAATTCAAAGACAGACATAAAACCTGAACAAGACCTAACATTATATCGAAATAAACAAGACTAGATTGAAACAACTTAGTCCTAGGGGTACGACAAGAATATAATAGCCTAGCGATTCACTATTTTCAGATTATATGAACTAAACGCATTATTGAGACACGGTTTTCGTTTGAAGATATGTAGAGACTCTAAAATTCTCAAATCCGAGTAGCCAGAAGTGGAACCGAGTATCCTGAAATCACTCTCAGATACAGCCACGTCGCACTGTTCAGCATGGAGGCGCACGGAAGAATGAGGAGACTTGGCGAGGGGCAAGTTAGAACGATAGCGCCTGCCACGGTGTTCAGAAACCCGGATGTAGAAGTTACGCGACGTCATTCTAACGTACGCAGATGCATAGCGTGCACAACTGAACTCATAGACCAGGTTTGATCGCATCCGAGCAGGAATAACATCCTTATACCTGAAGAAAGAACCAATTTTGAAATTATTTACCAGCATAACATGCAAATTTAAATTCGGGAAATATTTCAAACACAACATTTTTAGTTCTCTGGACATAGTTTCAGATGCACTACCAAAATAGGGCAATGTGCAATAAATAATTTTCTTACTATCGCATTCAGTCACATAAAAAAATTATTTATTGCACATTGCCCCATTTTGCTAGTGCTTCTGTAACTATGTCTAGAGAACTAAAGATGTTGTGTTTGAAATATTTATTCCTGCTCGGATGCGATCAAACCTGGTCTATGAGTTCAGTTGTGCACGCTATGCATCTGCGTACGTTGGAATGACGTCGCGTAACTTCTACATCCGGGTTTCTGAACACCGTGGCAGGCGCTATTGTTCTAACTTGCCTCTCGCCAAGCCTCCTCATTCTTCCGTGCGCCTCCATGCTGAACAGTGCGACGTGGCTGTATCTGAGAGTGATTTCAGGATACTCGGTTCCACTTCTGGCTACTCGGATTTGAGAATTTTGGAGTCTCTACATATCTTCAAACGAAAACCGTATCACAATAATGCGTTTAGTTCATATAATCTGGAAATAGTGAATCGCTAGGCTTTTATATACATGTCGTTGTTCCAATCTAGTCCTGTATATTTCGATATAATGTTAGGTCATGTTCAGGTTTTATGACTGTCTTTGAATTTTGACTTATAAAATGATTTTATTCATTTTTAGTTTAGTCGAACTGATGATGGAGCTGGACTCCGAAACGTTTTCAAAATCGATATGGTGAATTTTCTTGGCGTTTTCTTTGCTTTTAAATTCTTTTAGAAGGGTAAATATGTAGGATTATTGTAATCGAAATGATAGGAATATCGCAAACGTCCAGCAGCAAACACTTACGCAGGTATCGACATTTGCGTGGCAGAGGTCTGAGGTCAAGCGGAGCCTCAACGTGGATGTGCAGATATTCTGCAGCAGAGGCTATTTGTGCCAGAGTTGTGATGCCAGAAAATGTTCTGATGCAACCTTTGAAGCCCTTGATCCTTGGCCTGTAGGATAATAGTTTAGAGTTACATTTATATCCTAAACTAGATAAATTCGAAACTCAACGTCTAACCTTACGTCGGTGAGGCTCGGAGATGAGCGGAGCGCGGAGCAAGATTTCTCAGAGAATACTTTGGTAACGAGTTTGTTCTAATTTTCTTCGGATAGTTAGACGCACAGAGTAACTGATTTGAAACGAAATTTTCAATTCTTTAAACATGAATAAACGAGAATCCATGGTTATTTATTTATAATTTCTATCAATTTTCGTTATTTACACACAATCGTTTCGATTTATCATAAAAATTTTGCAGCAGTCGTCAGTTCTTCTGGTAATCGCACACATTTTTTCCCACCCCAGGACAGGACCTCTGCGCGCCCCAAATAAAAATTAAGGGTGGAGCACCGATGATTATAGGTGGCGATAGTAGATTATAGGTGGCGTAACGGTGGGTGGCCAGATCTGCCGAAAATCGACAATAAAACACCTATAAATCGAAAGAGTGGCGAGTATAGGTGGGAGTAATCGATGAATCATCGATATTTATAGGGTCTGAAATATATATCACTCATTGCAGACAAATCTCTTGTGAGCCACCGATAACCGTTTGCCCAAACTGCACAGTGCACGAAGATATTTGCCACTGTAATTTATCCAACGTAGAGAGGTGTTTTTGGGTTGCAGGTCATTCGAGATTAAGACGAAACCATGACTTGTGCTTGGCGTACAGACGTTCGTTCGGCGTTCTGAGACGAAACGTTCTGTGTGCTTAGCATTTAAGATTAAGTTCTGTTAAGAAAATTTAGCGCAAATTTAGCATGAATTCAGTAGGTACGAGTAAAACTGACAGATAGGAGCAAGGTGTTCACAAATTTTCCAAACCAAAGTGAAGCCACTGGGCATGTATCAGATTGATCCTGATATAAATTGTCCGCAGAACAATAGAAAATTTTTGTCGCAAAAAAAAGTTTCTCAAAAGATGATAGCGAATCCAATTTTTTATGTTCACATGAGATATTGAGTAAATTTATTACGAATTATGCTTATACGCCAACTGGCTGTGTTGGAAATATTGCGATCAATTCAGACTAATTATTGTATCATTAAGTATAAATTGTATGGATCGATTAAGTGTGTTATATAATATTGACAATCAAATCGCCCCATTTATCTAAACTCTATAGCCACGTCGACGTAGTCTGTAGAGGTAAGGCATCTCTAAAACACAGCGGCTCGGCGGCTCCCAAGCACAGCGGCTATATAGGCGGCTCCCAAGCACAGCGAGCAGTCGAGGAAGCAGATGTTCACAGGAGTTGGGTAATGGGTTTACGGGAGTCGGCGTTGAGCTTCCTATTAATCTTACTAATCTTTACTATGACCTGCTTCCTACTAATCTTTACCATGTCCTGCTTGAAATACGTGCTTTCCGGGTTATTTACGAATAAATACAAATTTATTTACTTTCCGGGATACGAATAAAAATTCGTCTTTCAAATCGCTTACTTCGATAGTGGAATTTAATTATTTAGGCAAATTTGCTTATACAGTCCGATAATTATTTCGATTTTAAGTCTAAATTTATACTAGATTGGTCCTGGTATCTTTTGGACGCAAAAGATTGAAGATTATGCAAGAGAAAAATAGTGACACGAAGTGGAGCGGTAATTCACGCCTGAAATTTCAAAATAATCGAGTGATATCAATTCTTATATCACGCAAGAATGTTCTTGATAAAATATTTCGAATAGAACCGCTGTCAAAATTGGTGTAATGTTCACACTATGAAACTTCGATGCTTATCAAGCATTTTCCCGTAGCCTTTACTCTGAGCTGAACCATCGTTCGTTACGAATAAACGGAGGTTGTTTCAGTGGCTGTTTATTTGAATGTAGCAGCATGTTCAAATAAAATTGTTGATGGAACCATCTAATCTTCACGGTGGTAGCACTAACTTCTTGTCATTCGATGAAATTAATACTTGCAATACTTCAGTCAAATATTTTAAAATTACTCTAGTGCCTAGTCCTCTCCTATAGCTCAACGGTAGAGGCTCTGCTTCGCGTGGGGGAGACCGGAGTTCGAATCCTGCAGGCAGGGAGTTTCATCAGCTCGATTTCTCACGAGGTATGTGTATGGTATTCTGAAAATTTGTTCCCGCTACATGTCTGATATTGTTACTTGTACTATCGTGGTACATCTATGTACGCTGCCCTTACAATGCTGATTGTGTGGAACTATGTCAGTAAATACATAAGCATCGGATTAGAAACTAAGTTAAAAAATTTTTAAGATTTCATTCTAAAAAGTGGCCATCGGTGGCTCGTCAATGTGCCACTGGTGCCAATGGGTAGTTATTTGCGGAAGAACAGCTTATCAGGTAGGGGGGCCATAGACAGGTTATAGGTGTGGTAAAGGTGGTGCACGCCACCCTTAATTCACTGTATAAATCATAGCTGCTCCATCTGTGGCGTCCGCCTATAGTCATCTTAAACACATAGGTGCTCCACTCTTAATTTTTATTTGGGCGCCGGCCCTAGCAGACTTCCATTCACTCTGTAAAGACGCTTTCAGTGATTCATGGCTAAGTCGGTTCCGCTCAATTGTTTCATGAACGATGCATTTTTACATTTATCCACGCAAATTTTATTTCGCAATCGTCCACCAGGAATTCATGGAGAACGAGTTGAATTCCAGCAGCAAACCGACTCGTAAATTCCAGGGCACAGAGTAATCATTTATCTCACCTGCCATATGTACAGTGTACATTAAGTTGATTACTTCATTCACAAAAAACACTCTCAGGTGCGATGGAATTTCCCGGTTACCTCAGGTCTGGGAGATCACATTCTATTTGTGCAATCGACCGCTTAAGGATCAATGAATTAGACATTAAAATTAAATCAATACTTACCCGTATAAATCAATTACTTACTCGCGAGCAAAAATCAATAATCAAGTTTAATATTTCAAAATTTACAGTCCAATTCTGTTCTACAGTCCAATTCTGTTTAATTACAATATTCTGGGAGAATCTTTAAAAATTGTTTGATAGTAAAATCTTTTGGTTTTGCAAATTCAGCACAAGAATAAATCAGGATAAAAACGATTCCAAAGAGTGCATAATAACTTCACCGCAATGGACAATTATATTATCATTACATGTTGTTCAGACTTGAGAAGTGTAACCGTGCCTTAAATATAATTTAGTTCTATGTCTAATTCCAGATAACTGAAAGCGAAATGATAATGAACTGAAATGTTGCCCTCTGTGTAACAACGGGCATAAATAAGAACGGCTTTACGATACCTGGGGTCGAGCAGAGACTCAAGAACATCATCGCAAGGTTGGAATCCAGTTTCCCAGTCCATCAGATTGAGGCGCAAGTCTCCTCTGTGGAGTTGGACAATCTTATGCCA